AAGAGGCAGAAAGTGGTAACACAGAGGGTAAGGGGGAAGGGGGGTAAGAAGGAGGAAGTGGTCAGTTGTGTTGAAGGCAGCAGAGAGGCCTCAGAGGTGTCCCATGGATTTGGCAATTACCGAATGGTTTACTTTGCTAGAGCAATTTCAGTTGATCGGGGTGACAAGAAGTCAGGTTTTAAATGTAGAGGGAAGTCAAAGAATGAGGGAACGTTCCAGTTGTCCCCCCTTTGTCCCTCCAGATCCATGCTCTACCCTTTGCCACTCAGCTCCCTGTCCCAGATCAATGGCAACATCAACAGAATACCATTGAGTGACTCAATTGAGTTTGGGCAATTGTGAGCCTCAGGAGGAGACTGGAGGGAAGAAGGAATGGGGTGGAGATATATATTCCCCCAACTCCCCACTTACGGAGCCTGCTGCATTCATTCAACCAAAGGTCACAACTCTCTCCAGCTGGGTTCAGGTAACCACTTCCTCCTGGCTCCCCTCAGGCCTCACTCAGAGTGGTAATAGCTCTGCTTTGCTAGTTCTAGTGTTCTCTACCACCCTTAGTTTTCTCTACATCCTGCCCGCACACTTCTATACTAGTCCTTTATTAACCTTCCACGAATCGTCCTGATTTGAGCACACCATCTGTATCCTGCTGGAGCCCTGAATGTTGCAAAGGGGAAGCCTGGCTGGGAAGAGCGAAGAGAGAGAGATACACAAACACAAAGCAGGTTTTGTCATGGGCCTTATTTTGTAAGAGCTAGAGAGGTTTGGCTATACTGACCAGCTCATGAAGTTTCAACAGGCAGGCCTGTTTCAATGGTGTGATCTGATAGGAAGGAAGAAATGCAGAGATAGCTCTATGCTGGCTGATGACATTATTGGTGGCTTCACCACTATTTCCTAAGACCTTCTAGAACCTGTGTTTCCAGTTTGGCCAAGACAGCCCATTTACCAGGTTTGCCCATGGCTGTGTTGGCACGTGTTGGTCTGAGCAATGAGCTCATGGAAAAGTAGACACGGAGACTAAAGGAGAAAGAACAAAGGTCAGGACCTTAACAGACCCAGGTACACACCTCAGCGCAGCAAGGCAGTGGGACAATAAACAAAGTCATTGGTGTTTTTTTAAACTTTGCGAGGCTCTGTAGGAAGCAGCCTCCACACCTTGCCAATCTCCTCCCTTGCTCTCTTGCAGGTTGCTGATTTGATTGTACGGCTCTCACTGGCCTCCTTTCGCTTTCTCAAATAATACTAAGTCCTGTTCTGCCCTTGAGCCTGAATTCTGACCTTTCCACTGCCTGCCGACCTGGCACTTTCCCCAACTCTTATCCCGGCTAACTCCTTCTCATCCTTTCATCTTAAATGTCACTTCCTCAACAGGTTGACCACCAGTCCGAACCAGACCCCTTTGTTCCTCTTCTTCAGCAACCCTGGGTTCTGCTTTCGTGTAGTCACCACATTGGAAAACATATTAAGGTGGTGGGATGCCTGGGTGGCTCAGTTGTTAAGGGTTTGCCTTTGGCTCAGGTCATGACCCCAGGGCCCTGGGATCGAGTCCCATATTGGGCTCCCTGCTCAGCAGGGAGCCTGCTTCTCCCTCTGCCTGCCACTCCCCCTGCTTATGCCTTCTTTCTCTCTCTGTCAATAGATAAATAAAATCTTTAAATTAAATTAAATTAATGTATTAATGTGCAGAATTGTATTTGGAAAGTCTCCTAGATTCTCTTACAAAACTTTCACTTTTGTTTGCTTTTACCTCTAAGTCTTTCATTCATCTGGGATTTGTTTTCGGTGTACTGCCTGGGGTAGGAGCCCCGTCACACCTGTGTTTCTAAAGCACTTGGTCGGACCCTGGTACAGCTCTTCCTTTCACTTGCTCATCCACTAACAGTCGCTTCACGGCCGATGACCCGACATTAAGCCCTTTATTGCATACAATGAGAATATCCTTATCCCAATGGATAAAAAGAGAATAATGACAGAACTTCTGGGCGCAAGGATGTATGAAGAGGATCTCTTTATACCTGGGGACGCAGATGCACAAATGAAGAAATGACAGTGTAACAGGGTAAATGCTTTAACGCCACGAAATGATTATAATCATCTGGAATTGTGGCAAAGAATGTGTTTCTATTCACTTCAGTCTCTCAGTTTGTGGCGCTCTGTCTTGCCCACTGAAATCACTTCATAAATATTTTAACAATTAATTGGAATGTAAAGTCTTTTCTTTTTTTTTAAGCTTGCACTTTTCACCAAATTTCCAAACACTTGTTCAGTACTTCTTTTTTTTTTTTTAATTAACATATAATGTATTATTTGCTTCAGGGGTACAGGTCTGTGATTCCCTAATGCCTTCTAATCTTTATCCTACTTCTTTCTTGGTTTAGCAAACTCCTGCTCATCCTTCAAAGCCCATATTAAATGTTACACCCCTACAAAGTCTTTCCCAAGCTTTCCCTCAAACAGTTTCAACATCATCGTTCCCGTGGTATTTTGTCAGTCCTTCTACTCACTTTATTTCACTGACACTATATTGTATTTGTCTATTTTCTTGACTGTGTCCTCTACTGAACTGTGAGCAACACATGAGTAACTGGAGGGCCAAACACCATGTTTCGTATTTTTTCCCTCCAAAGCTGACATGACATTCAGTATACAGTAAGTGCACAACAAATGCTTTTTTTTTATTTTTTTTTTTGAAGATTTTATTTATTTATTTGACAGAGAGAAATCACAAGTAGACAGAGAGGCAGGCAGAGAGAGAGAGAGAGAGAGAGAGGGGGAAGCAGGCTCCCTGCTGAGCAGAGAGCCCGATGCGGGACTCGATCCCAGGACCCCGAGATCACGACCCGAGCCGAAGGCAGCGCTCAACCCACTGAGCCACTCAGGCGCCCCAACAAATGCTTTTCAAATAAGTAAACGTAAGAGTAAAAAAATGTCCACATGTTTAAACCAAATATCCTCCTTTCTTTCCTAGGTAAATCCCTGTCTTCTCCCCATTTCTGTTCATTTTGTTTGTTTGTTCTATGGTAAAAGAAGAGTTGAGATGGAAGTTAGGGAATGGTTATCAGTTCTTGGATCATTGTCATCAAGTTGGGAGTGGGAGGAATGTGACAACACATCTGACTGAAAGTGGGAAAAAAGGTAGAGAAGCAGGGGTGCCTTTGTGGCTCAGCGGGTTAAAGCCTGCCTTCCGCTCAGGTCATGATCCCAGGGTCCTGGGATCAAGCCCCGCATCGGGCTCTCTGCTCAGCGGGGAGCCTGTTCACCCTCTCTCTGCCTGCCTCTCTGCCTACTTGTGATCTCTGTCTGTCAAATAAATAAATCTATATAAAAAAAAAAAAGGTAGAGAAGCACAGGAAATAATTTAGGGCAGAAATTCAAAATTCAGAATGAGAATCCCTCAGACTCTCCTATCTCAAATCATGATCTATCATGCTCAAAAGCATGGTGACTTTAGCAGACCTGGCCCAAACTCAGAGTCACAGAGATGAGGGTCTGAATCCCAGCTCCTCTTACCACCTCGTCGAATGTTGAGAAGGTAGGTCACTTCCATCCACCTTCCTCTGACACAGTATCCTTCCCTGAGAAAAAGGACTAGAAGTACCTGCCTGGCTGGCTAATAGAGTTATTGTGAAGATCAAAAAGGATGAGACTTGTGTATAAGATTTTCTCTGACACCCAATGCAAATGTACATCATGTAGTTTTATTGTATGTAGGACAAACCCAATAAAAATGCATGGTGAATAACTGAATGAACAAATGGATGAGCCCAGTTTGCTGATGATCTTGTGTAAGTCCAAGACTAAATGCAAGAACAACTCCATCTTTAGGGTTTATATAAAATATAACCACTATACATGACATCATCATCATGAAGAAAGTTCTCTTCCCCCATTGAATTGCTGACTCTTAGACTTTCTTCATATGGGATGAAACTTTTTATTCCATCATTTGAGAAATGACTTGAAATGCACGAGTCCTGAGAAAGGTAACATGGCAACTAAAATCGCACTAAGGAATCCATGCTTTCTTTTTTAAAATTTTTATTTATTTTCTTTTTTTATTTTTATTTTTTTTCCTTTTCCTTTTTATTTCTTTCATTTTTATTTCTTTTATTTTTTATTTTTTTTAAGATTTTATTTATTTATTTGAAGAGATCACAAGTAGGCAGAGAGACAGGCAGAGAGAGAGGAAGGGAAGCAGGCTCCCTGCTGAGCAGAGAGCCTGATGTGGGGCTCGATCCCAGGACCCTGAGATCATGACCTGAGCCAAAGGCAGAGGCTTAACCCACTGAGCCACCCAGGCACCCCTATGCTTTCTTTTTTTAAAGCATGTTTTCAAGGGGCTAAGTGGCCCAGGGGGGCTGCAGCACCTGGGTGGCTCAGTCGGTGAAACAACAGCTAGGTTTCAGCTCAGGTTGGGACCTCAAGATTGTGAGATGGGGCTCATGCTCATCAGGGAATCTGCTTGAGAGTCTCCCTCTTCCCCTTAAATAATTGTGTGATCTAGAGGCCAACTACTTACCACTCTGGTAGGCTATCAAAGGTATCCTTCTTTGTTTCCTTCATCTTCCTACCCTTGAAATTTTGGACCTCTTGCTTAACAATTGTTTTTTTCCTGCTAAACTCAACAGGTAGCTATAATATTGATTTGAAATTAAAAATAAAAAGTAAACATAGCAGGGACGTCTGGATGGCTCAGTCGGTTGGGTGGCCAACTCTTAACCTCAGCTCCAGTCTTGATCTTGGGATCCTGAGTTTGGGCCCACAGTGGGCTCCACACTGGGTATGGAGTCTACTTAAAAAAAAAAAAAAAGAAAGAAAGAAAGAAAGAAAGAAAGAACAAACAACATAACCCCTACATTTTAGATATATATTTATTTGTGTATGTAAATTATACATATGTATTTACATGCATGTGTGTGTGTATGTAAATCTGACTTGGAAAAATATTGGAGTAGATTATGGGGAATTTTACTGATTTGTCTCCGCACACCAAATGCTCGCTAATCTGCTCTTGCGATGATCAAGACAGTCATCACGAACACCATAATGAAAAATACCCACATGAAGAATCGGTCTATGACTTTTGCAACCTTCTTCCACTCACTCCCCTTGGAGTTGGTGGCCTTGTGGTCTTTGAGGCACTTGGCAATGTACTCAATATTCCTCGTCAGCACCTGGTACCGAGCACAGTAACCGTCAGCATCCTGCGGGTTCTCACCATTGCACCCCAAGTCATTCTTTACCAGTTTGTTTATTTCCTTCTTCCTGGGAAGTCCTTTGTTTCTGTCTGTTTGCAGATTTGGCTCTGGAAGCTTGCCATATACCTTTGTGAGGTGGGTTCGTTCCCTGTCGTGGCGGGGGCTAAGGCAGCTCTCACCCACATCATAGACACACAAGACCCTGGACATGTATTTCAGGATGACAACCCTGGCCCAGCGTGGCACCGGCCGGGCCTCAGCCCCACAGAAGTGGACGTTCATCACCATAATGGTCAAGGCAGTGGAAGCTGTGATCAAGGCCATTGTGGCTATGTAGTATTTGCCTGGAAAATAACCACAACCAAGTTAGTCTAAACTGTCCTCATGTTTGGCTCAAAAATACACAAACACCTTTTCTAGAGAACTTGTAGACACTAATGGTTACCAGCATAAGCTTTTGAGTCAAACTTCCTAGATTCAAATCCCAGCTCCATCGCTCACTCAACTGGTGGCCTGGAGCAAGTTAGATCATCCCGCTAAGCCTCAGCTTTCTCCTCTGTAAAATGGGTATAATAATTGGATCTAATTAATGGAAATAGGATGAGGCTTAATTGAGATGGTATGTGTAAAGTTCTCAGCACTGTCCCTTCACTGAGTTAAAGGTTTCTATATGTTGCCAGAGATCGTGATGTGAAAAAAATTCTACTCTCAACAAACAACGATCCTGCACAGTTCTCAGAATTGTCCTCAGACCTCATTACTATGGGTAAGGAAGGAGCCATTGTGTCACTATTAGTCTTTAAAGTGTGATTGCAAAAAGCAATATTCATGAAAAAGGAAAATTAAGGAAAGGAATAATAAAGGTAAGGGCACAGACTTAGAAAATACAGAACATAAAACCAAGAAGATGAAGAAAAGCAAAAGCTATTTGAAAAAAGGAGTAAGATTGATAAACCTTTGATAAAACCTCTCACAGAATAGAGGCAAGGTAGTGGGGGATAGAGAGGGAGGGAGAATATAAAAGAAGAAATAACAGAATAGAAATTTAGAATACAATAAAATAATATTTAGCTGCATGATAATATATTTGAAAACCTAGATGAAATTTCTAGAAATACATAAGACATCAAATTTAGTGTAAGAAAAAAAGAAAATTGGAATAGAAAAGCTGCAGAGTTTGTCTTATAGGTGAGTTTTACCGAACTTTTAAAAGACAGATAACTCATATCATGCAAGTCAAGTTGTTCCAGAAATAGAAAAAGAGAGAAAACTGTCTAGCTTAGTTTATGAAGTCACTTTAGCCTTGATTCCAAAAGTAACAGGAAAGGAAACATTAGGGCCATTTTCCTTATAGACATATTTTAGAAAGTCGTATAAAACTTGTTAGCTAATTAAATCCAGTAGTGTCTTAAAATGGTAATTCATCATGATGAAGGAGGATTTAGTTCAAAAATCAGAAAACCTAATTCACTATATTAATGAGGCAAAAGAGAAAACTCAGATGATAATCTCAACAGATGAAAACAATGCATTTGATAATATGCATCATCTACTTATTTGTTAAAAGCTCAAAGTAAACTAAGAATAAATGGGGCTTGTTTTAATACGGTAGAGACTATGGGCCAGGAGTTTAGATCAAATGCTACACTTAGCAGAATACTTAAACACATTTCTATAAGATTGGAAGTGCATGTCGTAGGGGCTGCAAATAACAAGTTGTTGTTGTTAACAGATATGCTCTGTGTGCACCCTTTTTAAAAAGATACATTTTATATTATCACAGGAACAGAATAAATAATGTTTGCAGAACTCCTGAGAAGCATCTCAAGACATCTGTCTTTAGAACTTCAGCCAACTTGCTGTTGAATGTCCCTGCTAAAGAAGAGAGAGTGACCTGCCAATTGTCTTGCCTCAAATGGGATTATGATTACAGATCATCACAATCATTTCTGTCTCAGGAGAGGTCACAGAAATGCCAGTACACCTCTTCCTCTTTATTAGTGGTGGGCGGGAGCGATGGAGAGAAATTTCGGTGTCTAGTTCTCAAAAATGCGTGTGTGGGTCTGTGTGTATTTGTGTCCATGTGTTGGTGTGTCTGTGTTTTTTCACTTGGAGAGACATAACAAGGAAGAAATCTCCAAACAAGGAAACCAATGTGGTATTGTCTGAGTATCAGGTAATATTGGATTCAGTAGAGGATAAAAGAGCAGTACAACATCCCTTTCATATTGGTCTCTAAGTCTCTGCATGTTCTGAAATTCCTCCTCATTGTTTATTTTCATAGAAATTATGTCTAGCTTCTGATTTTGGTAAGCATCTAGTACAAGAGCAAGTCATGGAAGCAGAGGTCTTGGAGCCGAGTAGGTCGTTGGTGGCACTTGGTAGCATTAGGAGAGGTCTCAGAATGAGGTAGGGAGGGGCGCCTGGGGAGCTCAGTCCATTAATCTGCCTTTGGCTCAGCTCATGACCCCAGAGTCCTGGGATCGAGACCTGCCTCCCTGCTCAGAGGGGAGTCTGCTACACCCCCTTCCTCTGCCCCTCCACCCACTTGTGCTCACTCTCTCTCTTTCGAACAAGTAAATAAGATCCTTAAAAAAAAAAAAAAAAAACAAGGTAGGGAGAAGATGAGGGGGTGGGAAGGGGTCATAGTCTCTGTCTCTAAGCCTACCCTTTATAAGGACATTCTATTAGAGCAGACTTTGGAAAATATGGTCCATCCTAAAGTCACCTCAGGTTCCAAATTCTTGCCAAGATTGCTGAATCACACTCTTTGGGTGTAGGCACCAGCATTTTAACAAGCTCTCCCACCTCTGTTATACCCAATAAAGATTAAAGATTATTCTATGAAGGGTACATGATGGGCTGAAAAATCCAGTCAACCATTTCTATCCTGTTTGCCTCTCTTTCCCGAGAAGACATCCCATATGCTGTGAAAAGATAATAATAGTTACTACTGAAGGTGTACTTACCATATGCCAGCTTCCACACTAAGCAACCACACAAGGAGTAGCAATTACACACACTTTCCAGGTGATGAAGCAGAAACTAAAAGACTAAGTAACTCACCTAAGATCGACCATGAAGAAATGAGTGGTAAAATCAGAGTTCAAGTGCAGATTTCTTTAACTTCAAAATCAGAGCCTTAACTTCTAAACCAGTGGAACAGAAAGTGCATCAAAATCACCCAGAAGTCTTGTTAAAACAGATTGCCAGGACTCACCCCAGAGTGTCTAATTCAGGAAGTCTGGGGTCGGCCCTGAGAATCTGCATTTCGAAAGCAAGGCTGCCCTGTGGATCCAAGGATCACACTTTGAGAACCCCTCCCTCTTTTGTGTAAACCCAGAGACAATAAGCCCAGTTCTGGAAAACAGCCATCTCTGTATTGAAAGACGCCAACTGAAGACACCACACGAATCATGCAGCCACTTGTGTTGCATCTGAAGTTGACCTAACGGTTATGAGTTCAAAGGGACAGATGTTAGCCCTCTCACTACGAAGCTAGGCTCAAAGCGTAAGGCCCTTGAACTCACCTATCAGAGGGACATTTTCTGAGGCTGGCATGATCTCTGCCACCATGAGCTGAAATACAGTCATGGCCAACAGGATGGTCACTCCCAAGGAGACCTTTTCCCCAGAGGCTGCTGGGAGATAAAAACTCAAGGGAGCCAGAAAAGAGATGAGGACGCATGGGATGAGGAGGTTGACGATATAGAACGAGGACCTCCTCTTCAGAAGGAGAGTGAATGTCACATCCGGGTAAGGCTCCGAGCAGCAGCCATAGGAGATCACATTCTTTACAGCAGGCATGCCATGAACCTCCCACTCCACATCTTCAATGAAGTCAGAGAGATCTCCAGTGTCTAGGGCATTGAATATGTCCACCTGGTTGCCGTTGTAAGTCCAGGAACCAAAGGTCAGGTTGCACTGCTGGTTATCAAAGGGGAAATAGGTGACATCCACCACACAGGAGCTCTTGGTGATGGCTGGCGTATCCCAGGTGATCAGCCCATCATACCGCAGGACCACATTGGTATTCACGGGCTCAGAAGACTCATCATCAGCCCTGGAGGTCAGATGAGGGAAATGAAAGCTGCTTGTCAAGACAACCCATCAACTTCCTTACTCTGGACAGTTCACCAACCTGTGCCCATCCCTTCAGTGTCTCTGGCAATGGATCACCATTGTCCCCATCACCCTGGCTGAAAGCTGGAATCAACTCCAGTTTGCCCCTACCTCTCTCTCCCGTAACTACTCAGGGCCAACTTTTCTTGGATTCTTCCTTTAAAGCATCTCTGCTCTATGTCCCTTCCTCTTCATTTCCAAAGCCGCTCTCTTAGTCCAGACATAATGATTCAAACATATAGATAAAAAGATCTAGGAAGGAAAGCTCTGCTTACCTGATTTTGTTAACTTTGGACACAAGAATATTAAAATAGGGTTTTGTTGCTGCTGGAAGAGCTGTTAAGTATTTATTTGAGAATGCAGACAAAAATTCATTTAGCCAGGGGCACCTAGGTGGCTCAATTGGTTAGGCGTCCAACTCTTGGTTTCAGCTCAGGTCATGATCTCGCGGTCTTGGGATCCAGCCCCGCATCGGGCTCTGCACTCAGTGTGGAGTCTACTTCATATTCTTTCTCCCTCTCCCTCCTGCTTACTCTCTCTCAAGCAAATAAATAAAATCTTTTTTTTTAAATCATCAACCCATATTCTAAGAGATAATAATTTATTCTAGATATATCTTCTTTTTACTTTATCAACATTTATGCTTGGGTACAGAATTTCTATTTTTCTTTAGAGAATGACTTTCTCCACCTCCATTGTAAGGCAGATGAAATGCTGATCAAGGTCCCCCAGCCTCCCTTGGCCAGGGGCTGGCTGTGTGACCTGAGCTACATCCAACTGATTCACTTTCTTCAGAGTTTAGATCTTAAGCAGAATGATCCAAAGACCAAAAACAGTCACTCTGGTGATGCCTCCTTATAAAACAAATCAATAAACCAGCTCAGTAGTCCCTGCTCTCTCAAACCCTAGAGCAGTTCCAGTCTATACAGTCTGTCCTTTCTAAGAACTGGTCATTGATTTTTTTTTTCCCTTTAATTCAGTGAGCTGTACCATACCCTTCCTATAAATTCCTTTTTTCAGAAGGTAGCCAAAGTCAGTTTCCAATGCTTACAACCCTAAATGATAGGTTTTTATTAACATTTAATGCATATTTCACAGTCTTCCTTATAATTTTTTCCCTACTTAATGTATTATGGCTAAATGTCATATGTAAGGTATCCTAGATTAGATTCTGGAACAGAAAAAGTCCACATTAGTGGAAAAACTAATGAAATCCAAGTAAAGTCTACAGTTGAATTAATAATATTGTATTAGTTTTGACAAATGTACTATGTTATTTTGATGTAATGCTCTATGTAACATTAGGGGAAACTAGGTGAAGGGTGTATGGGAATTCTCTGTACCATCTTTGCAACTTTTCTGGATATCTAAAATTATCCCAGAATTTAAAAAGTTAATTACCCCCCCAAAAAAATATGATACAAAATTTAAAATGTGGTTATTCATTCATATTCTCCTGCAACACTATTCTCATGGCAAATAGTTTTCCTATATATTCCATTATATAGCTATGCCATACTTATTTAACCAATCCATCGATGTTTAACATTGTCTTTTCCAGGTTTTGCATTTACAAGTGATGCTATAGTCAAATCTTTGCATTTATCCACTGACTCTTTTCTTAGATTAAATTGCCATAAGAGGATTTGCTGGATCAAAGAACTGGCATGTTTTTAAATTATTTTTTCCCACTTACTGGAAATTGGGCACCACAACACTAACTGTAATGGTCTGATTGAAGTGGACAAAATTAGACCATTACAGTTAATGTGTGGAGCTCAATTTTTAATGAGGGCCTTTAATAAGGAGTGTTTAAAGAGAAGGATCTTTAACACAGGTCTTTGTGAAGTAATAAGATGAAGTTTTTTGAAAAACCCTGAACCTAACCTCTGTAGAGATGAGAAATGGATATAGTTAGTGGAATGAGAAGTGAGTACTGTGATGAACTGAGAATATCACTCACCCATCCTACCTTCCTTGGTGCAAGAGGAGAGATCTCAGGATCAGAGAGAATCTATTTGGAGAATTCCATATCAAAAAGAAGTCCCCCTCGTTCTTTCCAAGGCTAACTTCCCTCCTGGTACTGTGATTCATTTCCTCCCACATCTCCTTCATGATTTTGTTTCTCTTGGTTGCTCTTATTTTCTCTGGCTCATCGAAACCCTTCCCAATGCGTTCCCCAGTCTCTCCTACCAACTTCCCTTCTTCTCAGGCACTTCCCATGTCCCGCCTCTCCTTCCACACACTGGAAGTGATACACACTGCTGTCACTTCCCCCATTTTGTTTTTTTCTTGCAATTTGGCTTCTTCCCAACATGTGCTCTTTCAAAGGTCATTCATGACTTGCAAACACACAAATCTAAAAACCTGTTCTAGGTACCTATCCTATTCAACTCTTTCCAAGCATTTCACGCTGTAGGTTGTTCCTGGACATCCTTTCTTCCAGTGGTTTCTATGACACAACTCTCTGTCTTATTTCTCCTTCTACACCTTTAACCATTTCTTTTAAGTGTCTTCTGTAAATGTCTGCAGTGAAGAGTTTCACTAACTTTATCTGCAGCCATTTTCTCTCCTTCCTTGAGTAGTTCTATAAGGGCTCATGGGGCTTTTGATATCTCTTCCCCGACCTTCTTTCCAGGCTTGAGGATTGCCTTTTCAGTCCCTTCTTGGTTGTCTCCAAGTGGACGTTCCTTTGGTCTCCCAAACTGAACAAGTCCCACACCAAACTCATCATCGTTTTCCTCAAACCTGTTCCTCTTCCCCTCCTTTACATCCAATCTCATCTAACAGGTTTGCCATTTTCGCAACCACGAGATGACTTAAGCAAACCTTAATGCCAAATTCTAGACAGATCTTTCTGAATATGACAGGGTATCCAATTCCTCACTAGCTCTAAAATCCAAGTGTTAAGATGGCCCATGAAAAGCCAGCCATTAGAACTCTTTCATAACAAATGTACATTTGGAATTTCTATAACCCAGTCTCTACCCAATCTAATGTCAGGAATCCTTGCAGACTCTTGCACTAACCATTATATCAGCCATACACTTAGACTAAACAACTTCACCAGAACTTTGAGCCCTGATTTATTTATCTCTTTACTGATTTGATAGCAGAGCCAGTACCTGCTTGAATAACTATATTGCTAAAGAGCTCACTAATTCTTGGGAATAGTGATTGCTCAAGTTATGCATTATGATTATTTTTAATTGTTTATCTTCCCTTTAACTTTTTTCATTGTCTTGATTTTTGTCCTTTACAGAAAATTTCTCTTTTCTCTACCTTATTTTCTCCTTGATTGCTTAACATCTCCATTAAGTCTTCCCAAGAACTTCTGGCTTCCAAACTAGCATCAACAAATTCAACTGCCCCTCCCATGAAGTAGCTCCCAGACTCATCTCGAAGCTAATCACACCCTAGCAAGTCCAGCCCCATTGACTCGGGCTCCAGTGGCAAATCTAGATGTGAAGCTTCTTCCCGCCCAAACTATCTTTGTCACACCTGACTGGATCACTACCACATAGCCCTCTTTCCTCTCCTCACCACCATTCAAAAAGCCCATTTTGTGGTCTATGAGGTTCTATGCCAGCTTCTGAGAAATAATGAGAATACTATATCTTGGATCAGAAGAGTCTAAAGGTCCAGGGATTCAGCTAGAAGGACCAGGGTCAGAGAAATGGTTATGACTGAGGTCCCTTCTTTTCCTGATCCTATAACTCTCTTGTGGTCTAATTTTAGCTAGTTATAGGAATGCAAATGATGTCCAACCATAGCCACATTTAGAGTTTCCTCTAAGTAATAAAACTCTGACATTACCGAGAAGGAGAATGCAAAGCAGAATAAAGGATCTGTGTGCAGCAGGAGGGAGGAGATCACTAAAGAGTCAACCCAGAGGAACAAAAAGAGAGGTGATTAATCAGTGCGATGAAAAGATTCTGTGTGTAAAAGGGACAGGGAACTGAACTCACACACCTCAAGGCCCAAAGGGAAAGAATTTACCAAAGCCACAGCAGGTCTGCATGAGCCCATGAGCACACAACTGGTTTCTGGAATAAGCGGGGACTGGGGCAGGCTTAACTTAGGTGACCATACAAGCTTGCAAAGAAGCATGTCAGTAAGAGTTAGTCACTTCTTTAGCCAACCAAAGCAGAAGGAAGAGGAGAACCAGCATTCTGTTTGTTTCCCAGGAAGAACTGTTAGAACTGATAGAATGCTGTTAGTGTTCTGTATCAACTCTATTCTCTGATTACCTCACCCTGTGAGTGAGAAGAGCTAGTGGACGACATGGTTCATTCTCTTGCTGTGTGTGTGTGTGTGTGTGTGTGTGTGTGAGAGAGAGAGAGAGAGAGAGAGAGAGAGAGAGAAGGGGGTAGTGAACTGGTATAATAAAGCACTAACCCTGGGACATTGTTTTGCTTGGAAAGGAATATGGAAGGGCCCTCTGGCCACCCAGAGTGGAAAATGGTCAGCGGGATCAGGGCTATGAATAATTGGTCATGACCCTTGGCCGAGCCTTCTGAATAAGGAACAAGATTAAAATCCAGGCTGCAACCCACCCCTGTCTCCTCCTGAAGAGAAACTCACGCCCACTAGAAGGCTGAGCTCTCAGGAAAGCCTCCCTGAACTGCCCCTCCTTCACCCTGTTCTGAGTCAAAGAGGAACCATTCCCAACCCACAAGAGCTTGGGTTCCAGAATAAGAAGAGAGAAGCTCCTTTGACAACAGGTGGAACAAATGAACCTGAACTGTGATAGACCAATGTGGTTCCTTCTCGAAGTCTGGTCCAAGGACCAGCAGCACTGACCTCTGGAGATGCTAGGCAAGCAGAACATCAAACTCTACCCCAACCTACTGAATCCAAATCTGTATTTTAACAAAACTCTTCATGTGCACTTTACAATTTGAGAAACATATCCCTTCTATCCCTTCACACAAAGCCCCTTGCCCTGAAACCAAGAAAGGGTAACTGATGATCTTACGATCTAGTTTATCCTCCACTCCAATGTCCAAAATCCACAGGTCAGCCACTAGCTGGTCCATTCTGATTTAATCTTAGTAATATCACCGTTATTGATACATGATCTTGGGGAAGGGAGCACCACTATTATGGATTGAATTATGTCCCCCCCCTCTAAATTTATATGTTGAAATCCTAGCCCCCGGCACCTCAGAAGGTAAACTTATTTGGAATAGGGCCATTGTAGATGTAATTAGTTAAGACAAGACCATACTGGAGTAGGGAGGGCCCTTAATCCAACATGACTTTTGTTTTTATAAAAGGGGCAAAATGGACACAGACAACACCAGGGAGACACAGGGAGAACACCAGGTGAAGAGGAAAGCAAGGATCAAGGTGATGTTTCTACAAGACCAGGGACAACAAAGGCAGCCAGCAACCACCAGAACCTAGAAGAGATGTGTGGAGCCCATTCTCCCTTACAGCATCAGAAGGAACCAACCTTGGACATCTAGCCTCCAGAACTGGGAGAGAATACATTTCTGCCATTTGAACCCCCCAGTCTGTGGTCCTGTGTTCCCACAGCCCTAGGAGACTAGTAGAGCCTATAATAGAGTTTCTCATCCAACAGGGGGAAGGAGCTCTAAGTTTTATGACCTATTATTTTATTATCTAAGATCTTATGATCATCATTCTAGGGCCTAGGTAAATGAATTGGAACTTAACTTCAAGCGTGTATAAAACAGTCCTTTCTCATTGTGTTTAAATTCTGTTAAATCAATAAGTTCATTCCTGAGAGATGACTGACTTGTACTTACTTGTTATATAGGACAATATCAGGCCTCCACACCAGGTCACTGGGGATCCTGATGGAGTCCAGTCCATCGTACTGGTCTCGATCCCACGTGAGATACGCGTCATGCCAGATTTGGCGGATCCATAAATAGGCAGTCAGAATCTGGTTTCTTTCGTCCTGTATAAGCAACCATGTTATAACTCTGTCCAGTAGACACCTCAACCAAATGCTTTCCATCTCTAGAGCATTTGTTCTTTGCAACAGATATTCCAAGAGCACTAATCTACTTTCACTAAATAAATGAGAGCTTTTCTAGTCTCTCCCTTTGATGGACTGCAAAAGCCATATTTTTTCTTCTGCTTGATTTAGTGCTCTGAATGTAAAGTGAACAGACGTTCAAGGCATCAGATCTTTTCATAGGTCAACAGCCCACATTTCTCTGGAAATTGGTCAACCGACAACTCACTTAAATGAGAAAGTCAGGAAATATCTACACTGTACAGAAGAAAGTCTTTCAAGTTTCATAATTTTGTGCAATTAAACACATACAAGCACAAAACAAGATATGCCATCTTAAAACACCACATTTCCTTAAAAAAAAACAAACAGGAATAAAATTCATAGAAGACTCACCATTTAGCCATTTTTAAGTGGACGGTTCAGTGGCTTACAGTAGATTCATGATATTGCGCAACCATCACCACTGTCCAATTCCAGAGCATTTTTGTCAGCTCAAAAAAGAAACCCTATGACCATCAAGCCATCACCCACTATTCCCCCATTCTTCCCACAGTCCCTGGCAACCACCACTCTGTTTTCTGTCTCCAGGGTTCTGCGTGTTTTGGACATTTCATAGAAAGGGAACCAAGTGATCTGTGACACCATCTCTGTTTAGACGATTGAGACTGTTACTGTTAATGGCCAGGATTATGTAACATCTAGCAAAATGACTTTTGTAGAGAGCTTCCTTCCTTGGTATTCCCTTCCCCCACCAGCTTGTACACGTTCCTGTCTGGTCTCATTTCCTCTCAAATTCCAGGTAATGCATCTCTTTGGAAAGCATGGCGAGTTTCATCCTAAGCACAATTTCATAGAGTCACCACTTTATTTTACTCACCATGTCCTTAATCTGAGAAAGTGTAATTTGGAGGGTGACATTCAGGACTTTATCTGTATCTTCTACTGGACGAAGAGCATTGGAATAATCTTCAAAAAGGTCATTAAACAACTTCTGAGCATATTTTCCATCTGCAGTTTCTACAGCTGCTCAAAAAGAGGGACCGAGATCAACATTCGATGTCATGTATATTTCAAGGCAAAGAACAGCAAACCGAGGGCTAGAACTGGGCCTGACACAGTATCAGCTAGGAACAAGCTTTGGGTACACGAGAGTTAGTCTTCTGGCTAGTCAATAAGAGGCATGAACATTTCCTCGCAGTGAGAGCATCTGTTCTGTTTGCTGGCCCAGTCCCACCAAAGAAATGGCCCCAAGTGATTACACACCCATCAGACTCTTACCTCTCAGTCTGGAGACAGCAAAGTAAATCCAGCAAAAGGAGATGCAGGAATGGGGCCAGTTCATCTTTCTCCTGAGCTTCTAGAAATTCTCAGGCAGGCAGCGGTCTTCCACTTCCCTCTGAATGGGAAGGGTCTGGGTACAAAGATCGCACTCTGCCAGAGTCTCACCAAAGCAGATGGAGAGCGCAGGCATGCAGTGCACGGAGGGCCCCAGGTCCTGAGATCCAGACCGGCTCTCCCTCCTCCCCTCCGGTAATCCGAGACCAGCTCTGGCCACGGAGATGCTGGAGCCTGGGTGGGCTAGGCAGGCAGTGCTGATCTGGGGAAGCTGTCCCAGCCGAGGGTCCCTAGCCACATTCAGCAGGAGCATCCAGACCAAACTTTTGGAGGAGGTGAGGTAGGAGCCCAACACCCCCTGAGACTCTGCAGAAGGAGCTAGGTGCTTTCTACACCTGCGGCAAGCAGATCCAGCCAGAGTCTAAGGACTAAGGGAAGACAAGTAGACCCCACTGCGGGGCATCCTCTGGAAAGGTTCTATGAATGCGCTTCAAGGGGCATGTGAAGAGGGAAAGAGAGGCAATTCCATGATCTCCAGAACATGCTTCTGCTTCAACTCTTTCAAGTCGGTCACAGATCTTGTATGGTAATGTGTGAGCATGGGGGGAGGGACTGGGGGAGGGGCATTCACTCCCTTTGGAAGCAGTGCTGCCATTAGGATTTGGAGTCAAGACCTAGGTTTAACTGCAAGCCTGAACCTTTCCTAGCCCTACAGCACTGAGCCTTCCTGAGCTGGAGACCAGGAACCTAGTGTTCTATTGCGATATTTCATGCGAGAGCGCCATATAAATGTCAGTAAAATTTGCCTCTGATTTTGCAGATCTAGAATGTCTAGAATCACCAAGTCACCCAGGATTTACTAGCCCTAAAAAAAATTAAAAAAAAATTGTTTAAAGGTTAACCAAATCAGCATGAAAATGATTCATAACTAATGGTGACATTACTGGGATGTTGTTTCTTTGCATTTGAATACCACTTTATTTATTTCACACTCATTTCTCTCACATGATCTAATTTTGCTCCCATGAAAGCATGTCAATTTCCAATTGCCATAACGTATCCCTCTTCTTGCCTGGGGAACCTGCCTCAGAAAAGCAAATTAAGATCATTTGATTGCCTGGAATCCGAGCAAGGAAATTGGATCGTTCTATTTCATCAGGTTACAGAGTCTGATGAGTCACCCTGTCCCTCTTCAGGAATCTATCCTCCAAATGGAACAGACACTCAAGCTGTCAGCTAAGTGTGTTTCCTAATCGCCTGTGCCCCAGTGTTGATTGGGAAGACATTATTTTCCCGAAGTCCCCAGTCTGACTCACCGGTCAGATGACCTAGTTCCAGCTGCAAAACCTCGGGCCTTCCTTCAACAAACCATCTGCTCTGGCATCTCAGAGGCTGAAAGTCCTTCTGAAATTGAGTTGAGCACCTTGTTTTTATACGAGGAAACTGAGATATAGGGATGTGTGGGGCTCACCTCTAGCAGCGCTGGGCCAGAGAGAATCCAAGCCACCTGCCCCAACCTCGTGTGCCCCCCATGCTAACACCATCCCTCTTCCTTGTCGTTCAGCCACATGGCACTTGAAGGCCGCTGGGTGATACCTTCTCGTGGTTAGAGACTCTCTACCTATGTCTCTTTGATTCCTTGGGACACTCCGAGCAGCCCCTGGTGACAGGTGCTCTGAACGCTTGCTGCTGGCTACTTCAGCAGCAGCTTGGAAGGTAGTCATCCCTGGTGATCTTTGATTGCTTCTAACTAACTCAGTTCATTCGCATGGGTCACTTACAGTTTTTTTTTTTTTTTAATAGTTAATAGTTGATGCTATCCTACCAATGTTAACACCATCCAAACGAAATCAATACTTTCAGCGGGGCAATTCTGCCTTTTAGGGCAAAGATGCTAAAGACTAAAAGCAAATGCCACCCAAATTCAAAGTATTTCTAGAGAGCACAGTCATCTTTTCAACCTCTGCTCCCTTTGAGAAGTGGCTGTCGCTTGTCACAAGTTCACAGACAAAGTATTCCAGTCATCTCAGAGTTTCTGGGAGCCCAACCTTCCTCAGTGGACCGATTTTGAGGCACTTAGTTATAACAAAATATGATAGTAAGATATTAGTGACATTCCATAAGATCATAATATTCTTAACATAATTTATTTCTTAAGTGATGCATACCTATTGCAGAAAAATTAGAAAGTATAGAAAAGCACAACGAAGGAAAAGAAAGGTCACCCGGAGGAATCCAGCCAGGCAGAGATCCACAGGGCTCATGTGGCGGCCATCTTTTTTAAATGCTCATAGAACATGTTGTCATGTCTTTGAGACCCAGAAGGACGCGGGCCATTAGCAGAACTCTGTCTTGCTCATGAACACATTTCTATGTGCAGAGGATGCTTCTAAAGGCTCTTTTTCTGTTCTCTTGGGGTTGCGATGTAGTTCCCTCACAGGCTACCTCGAATGGTCTCCCGTCCTTTCCTGCCTCTCTCCCCACTCTCAGGGTCCTTACACAACCCTTTCCGGTTGAAGCTGGGGAGAATCCTTTGCCCATTGTGGTCAAGCCCCCTGGAGGTATCCCTGGCTCCGTTCCAGAAGAATGATGGCAGTGTTTCCATGCCTTGGAACAGAGCTCCTGCCTTACAGAGAACCCTAGTGAATTCTTTTGCTTGAAGACCTTCTTTCCAATAGCAGAGGAAGGAAGGGGAAAGACAAATACCTTCCTCCTGCTACATTTTTTTAATTGTAAAAGTCAAAAATAATGTCTTATAAAGGGTTTCTCCCCCATAAATTAATATGACATGAATATTTTCTCTGTTTTATTAAATATGAAATCGGGGGCACTTGGGTGGCTCAGTGGGTTAAGCCACTGCCTTTGACTCAGATCACGATCTCAGGGTCCCAGGACGGAGTCCCACATCGGGCTCTCTGTTCGGCAGGGAGCCTGCTTCCCCCCTCTCTCTGCCTGCCTCTCAGCCTACTTGTGATCTCTCTCTCTCTCTCTCTCTCTGTCAAATAAATAAAATAAAATCTTTAAATAAATATGAAATCAGAATCCTTTTTTTTTTTTTTTAGATTTTATTTATTTGAGAGAGAGAGGTCAGCAGGATAAGCAGACTCCCTGCCAAGCAGGGACCCCAATGTGGGGCTTGATCCCAAGACTCCAAGATCATGACCTGAGCTGAAGGCTGTTGCTTAACCAACTGAGCCACCCAGGCACCCCAGAATAGTTGTTGTTGTTGTTGTTGTTTTTTAAGATTTTATTTATTTATTTGTCAGAGAGAGCGAGAAGAGTGTGCATGCACACAAGCAGGAAGCAGGGGGAGCGGCAGGCAGAGGGAGAAGCAGGCTCCCCGCTGAGCAAGGAACCTGATGCGGGACTCCATCCTATACCCCTGGGATCATGACCTGAGCCAAAGGCAGATGCTTAACCAACTGAGCCACCCAGGCGTCCTGAAATCAGAGTAGTTTTAACCCATGAAGATGCCTATAGACCACCTAGCTGAGCGCTCTCATTTTACGGATGAAAAAGCTGAGGCCAAAGGAGGGTGTGGACAGGGAAGGAGACCAAATCTCCACCAAGAGCCAAGCCAGTGGCCGTCAGCTTTCCCTAGGGGCCCAAGCTCTTAGCTGTCTTGGGTGCTCGGAGCTGGGACACCTGCTAACAGATTCTTCTCAACTCATTGAATTCTCAGGAGATGCCCTGTGGGCCCCCACGCCCGACCTCCTATTTCACAGCTACTTTCTATGTTTGGGGATTCATCCTGGACATGAGACTCCAAATTAAAAACTCGAAGTTCCTCTAAAGGAGTAGTATCCAAATTCTTCCACTGCGCACCAGAGTTTGGGAAAAGGGCTGCCACCAGGGACGCCACGCCTTCCCAAGGAGCTACCCACTCAGGCAGGGCTTTCCAAACATTCTGGGGTTCGTTTCTGTCTATGTTTTCATAATTCAGAAACACAACTGCATGGAGGGTTTAAGACAATCCACTCTGGAGTCAAACTGCTTGGATTCAAGTCCTGCCCACCACCTACTAGCTGTGTAACTTTGCGCAGATTACTTAACTTCTCTGAGCCTTAGATTCCTCTTCTATAAAATGGCGATGATTATACTATTGCCTGCTCCCTAAGAACAGTGCTTGGCCATAAAAAGGGCTACGTACCTGATAATGAAAGGGGGGAAATGCATTCCAGCATTTTTTTTTTAATTGGGCTTGTAACTTGTAGCCACAATTCCTCTCTCTCTCTCATCGATCTTTCTTTCCATCCATTTCTTTGTTCCCCCCACCCCCAACTTCTTGACAGACTTCATTAGAGGATTCTCACCTTACGCTAGGTGGGGAAAAAACAGCCCTGCCATTTTCTTGTTGCCCTTTTTTATTGCAATGTTAATATTATTGTCAACGTGTGGTGGGTTTGTTTACTTTCCTACTTTTTTTTGTAGTAGTCATTTTAATTCTCTTATCCACTGTGGGAAAGTTAGCCAATCTAAATCTATCACAGAGGCTGGCAAACACTCTCAGTAAAGGGCCAGAGAGTAAATATTTTCAGCTTTGCAGGCCAGATGGTCTCTGTGGCAACTACTCTTCTTTGCAGTCACGCTGTGAAAGCAGCCATAGGCAAGGTGTAAATTAATGAGCACGGCTGCATGCCAATAAAACTTTATTTACAAAAATAGATGGCCGGTCCTCGCTTGCTGACCTCCGATACACATCACCAAATCCTTAAATCCGTGGACCCAGGCTCAAGCAAACCGCAAGGCGGTCAGCACCCCTGAAGAAGGAGCACAGCCTGAAAGGAAAATGGCATCGTAAGGCCCAAGCTTGCTGTGGGCGGGTGTGTGGTGAGGCCTGGGCTGGCATGAATGGCGCTTCTCCAGTGACGTGCAAGCTGTCTTCCAGAGCAGGCTCCCAAGGGCTCCCATATAAATTCCTAGAGAGAGGGAACTCTTGCCTAAAATGAGCCTTTCCACCAAAGAGGCAGAAATAGTTGGGAGCTAGAGAGCACACAGCAGTCCTGTTTGACGTCCGGACACTGGGGAGGCTTCCACATGACGGCCACCAGAGTGTCAGGGGCAGGAAATCAGAATCCCCAAATATGGGTGACATACCATGATGATGGAAACTGGCTATA